GTTTTTTTTTTTTTTTCTTTTTCTGGCCAGTTAAAGCTAAAGCCTGAAGGGAAAGAGAAATAAACTGAAACATAGTGACATAAAAGGTAAAGAGCACATTATAGGCTGATTCCAGCTGGAAAACAGAATGAAAACAGTGTGACCTGGTGATTAACATTGACGAGCACATGATTACCTGACAAGGATATAGTTGTTATTACATGCTGACTCTGAGAACAAACAGAAATGCTGAATTTATCACAAATCGAATCACTCGAGGAATGGACCGTGGAGCCATTACACGTGGGCCAAATTATTTCAGCTGGTTATACGCAATACCACACTAGGGGGGGAAAATACCATAAAGAAACATCTGGCAGCAAGGGCATAGGAAAATAATGGTTGAAAAATGACTGAATGCTGTAATGTTCAAAAACTGTAAAAATGAGTGAAAATTACGATAAATACCTGTAAAATGGTTATATTTTTAGCAGATGAAAATACTGTAAAATATTTTCATTTTACGATCACACATCGTGAAAAAAATTATTATTTGTAAAATTACACATTTCAGATGTGGACATTATGTATAGTTTTGGCCTGTTTTGGGGTATTTTTGTGTATTTTTTGACAATTAACATGTAAAATTTATACTTAATTTTCTATAATTTTACGACAGATTGTGTTATTTAACTAAATAAGGAAAATCTGTAAAATGACAGTTAAAAAAAAGTATATATCATTTTAAAATTCTTAATATATTTTTCTTTCCAGTAATAGCAAATAACTGTAAAATAATGATTTTTTTCCCAAATTAAATACAGTAAAAACATTGTAAGTTGACTGTCAGAAGTTGTAAAAGAATGAATTATCTTTTGTAAAAACTGATTTCTTATGAGGCATTGTTTACAGATTTGGCCTGTTTTGTAGTGTTAACATGTAAATAAATACCTTTTCCTGTGATTTTACTAGTTATCTGTAATTTAACAGGGAAAATCCATTAATTAACTGTGAACGGTTTAAAAATACAGTTAGAAACTGCTATAAAATGGTCATTTTTACAGTGCAAACAGCAAAACTTTGGTAAAACACTTAAATATAGTTAGTAGAAAGTTCAATTATATATGAATGCATCCTGCTTTTGGGTAATTCAGCTGTCATATAAATTCAAACAAATTTAAAGCACTTGCACTGCAAAGTCTTTCCAGCCTGGTCAAGTGCTCATTTGTTGCCTTTCCCCTCATGGGGCAAAGCTGCTTAGAGCAGAAAGGAGATTACACATAACTAAATATACAAACAGAAAACACTGCAAAGCCTGTGTGACCGCTGCCTCTGAATACACACACACACACACACACACACACACACACACACACACACACACACACACGTACACACACACACACACACACAGACCTTTTTCGAGACCCAAATCTGTGTATAGATTTGGGTTTCTATCTGACCTGACGCTTTCATCTGCACATAAATACAGTACTTAAACAGTACATGCGACAAAAAGGTCTGCAACAGCCTGCAGCTTTACTCGGTGGGGATTCAATCCTCTCACATGAACAGCAGTTAACTTGTACGCACACAATGCTCTGATCTGACTCAGATTCATAAATATAAAACTCCATAAGCGAGACAAGCAGCCTTTAAAGTCTGTCTTTCTCTCTGTCCTGTATTACAGTCAGTTAAGAGTTGGCCTTTGGTTGCGCACTCTTAAAAATGTTCGATTTTTATAACCGTGAGCATAAAACCCGCGGGGAGAGACAGACACAGGTGACCTTTGGGGGAGGGGAGGTCACTGAATGTAATCTTTCTATAAGCAAACCGAGGACTCAGCAGCCGGGGGAATACATGCACAGAGCAGACCTCGCTCAGCAGTTGAGACGGAGTGTGAAAGAGAGAGTGAGTGAGAGACAGCGACAAACATCCCATCAACCTCCACACAACCTACATGCTCAAGGCATTTTAGGCCTGTGTGTAAAAATACATTCTTAGGGTTCAGCTGAAGCCAACATGAGGTTTTAGCAGTCTAACAAACTGAGAGGGTATTTTTGAAGTTCTGTTTTATTAGAACAAGACTCCATCTTTGCGTTTGTACTGCGCTTTCATCCTGAGCGTCAGTGAAGTGATAGCAACTGGAAGAATTTCATACAAAAACATGAACTTTATTGGATACCCGCTGAGCTTGACTGCTAAATCCTTGTATTAGCTTTAATGGAAATTCACTTTTCTCACTGTTAAGACAACACTGGATTTTGTTTCCCATCTCTTTCAACATTAGGAAGAAATGTTTTCAGGGATGATGTGGAGAGAAGGAACAATGGCAGGGACTGATGACATTGTACAAAAGGGCATGCACATATTGACAGGCTTGGGGAAAAAAAATGTCCATAGAAGAGGAGGGACGAAGGTAAAATAAGCAGGTTTCCTTTAAATGTTAGAGTTTGATAAAAGAGATTAAACTGATGTTTTTACACGCTTGCATGAAAAACCAAGCAAGAGAGAAATTAGGTTTTGTGCACAGTAACACAGTAACCTAAGGACTCACATTTTGATTTTGCCTACTAAGCACATGCTTACACACCATCATGAGAGATGACATGATGACACATGTGCATGCATCAGGGAAAAAAAAGATCTGAAATATGGAGCAACACTTGGATCTGAATCTATTTGCAAAGCTCTCCAAAGCCGTTTCAATATATTTTTTATGACATCACTGCCCCCTGGTGTCTGGCAAAGAATGGTGCATTATTATAAATTTGCACTGTACAATGCAAGAGAATATGTGACTATCTTGTTTAATTTCACTTTGCAAAAACAGGATGGAAAATAAAAGCACAGTTCTTCTTCAACAACATGGCTATGTACTCGTTGAAATAACATTTCCATTTTACATCACAGTCAAAATAAATCTGAGGAGATGGGCAGTACATAAGCACAACTTTGAAGGAAGAGACGCGCTATCCTACCTCTGCATGCCACGAGTCTAAATCTAAAACCAACCAGACTTTCTTTATTGGCTTTACAAAAGCATTATTTTGTAATTCTGCCACTTCAACTAATGAAAAGATGCTCAGATCTGTTCAGCAATTTACCACTGACAGGCAGGAACGTCATTGGAGGATAGAGTCAACCTGGAGAGACATTATATTTTTTCACAACAACAGCCAATACTTCTTATTGGTGGATAAATATAACCAATCATTTACAGTACAGTAAAATACAAAGCTCTCTGTTTTAGAGTGGTCTATAATTTAGACAGAATCAAAACTGAAAATAAAATTAACTCAAATAAATTTGACCTTGTGTGTTATTACATATATACAGGGGTTAAATTGGGCTTTGTGAGGACAGGGAGCGCTTGTCGAGTGAGGCTGGTGTGGCAAACTATTCATTTCTTCGGTACGAAGTAGTTGCAGTAAAAATTAAACATTGCGTTCAGTGGATGTGGTTTGTCCAGAGTAACAATGGCACTGTTTGGTAAAAGAGATGATGCAGCTGAAATTTCTAAATGTGATTTTTTTTTTTTTTTTTTTTAAGTCAAAAGGATAAATTCCTTTCACGTCCATTGTTTTGGTGAAATTTAAAAGCCAGCTTTCTCAAAATAAATCTTACTATCTAAATAGACAAACACGAAGATTCTCATTTTGTAATTATTTTGTTTGGGTACTTTCTGTACCATCTGATAATTTGGATGCAGCAACATTTTAGATGAATTAAAGAAAACAAGGTAATGAAGCTCTGTAAAGTCCCAAAAGACAATAATACAACTTCTCAAATATAGAGACCAGTACAATGATGTTTTCATTATAAGACTGACTGCCTGGTGCTCTATTTTTTATTTATTCAACTAATGGATGATAACTTCATGCTTGCACTACCACTCTGGAAAATATTATGCACTTAACCACAGGAAAAGCTATTATGACTTTTCAGAGGAGAATTAAAAATGCTGGATTCATCCTGAGCATAACCACTGTTGTCATAGGGTTGGTCTGATAAGCAATTTCTGGGCTCTGGATATTGGGGACCATTTAATCTTTTGATTATCTTTTATCTTTTGAATATTTTAATTTCACACAGCTGTACCACATTTGTGCGAAAACAGTGGAGATGCAGATGGTGTTTTTTGTTGGTCTGTTCTTTGCTTTTTATGAGTTTTTGGGGTCCGCGTCTGGCGAGCCATTCAGCCATAGTTCTATTGTTTTTACATTTGTGAAACAGCTGTTGGGGCTGAGCCAGACCAAGCCACGTCGTGGGAGAGACCGGACATGCCCAATGAGCTGTGCAGGAGGAAGAGGGGATGCAGGGCAGAAGTGAAGCGTCGGGAGAAAAGGAGACGCTACAAGCCGTCCGTTCGTCCATCATCATGAGAAACATGAGGTCTCTCCATAACAAGCTGGAAGAGCTAACAGCTAACAGCACTGACTGGGCTGCAGTGGGAGTATCGGGAATACAGCTTTATGTTGTTCACGGAGTCATGGCTGAACAAACTCACTCTGGACTCGCTCTCAACTTTGGACGGATTTCACCTGGTCAGCTTCAGGGAGAGTGGTAAGAAGAAAGGCTGGGGACTCACTATGTATGTGAATTAGAGATAGTGTAATGCTACCACGTTAGTGTTCAAGAGCAGCGCTGCATGAAGGATGTTGAACTGCTGGCGGTTGGTTTGCAGCCGTTTCACCTGCTGAGGGAGTTTTCGCACATCCTGGTGATTGCAGTTTACATTCCCCCCTCGGCTGAGGCTGCTGCAGCCTGTGAGCTTATCCATAGCTCAGTGTCCCAGCTGCAAACATCACACCCTCAGTCTCTGATCGTCATCTCAGGAGACTAACCATACATCACTCTCTACCACTCTCCCTATATTCAGCCAGCATGCGGACTGCCCAACGGGAGATGGTGGGGCCTTGGACCTGCTGAAGATGCATATTACTTAATTATTGTTATTTTCTTGTACTTTCTATATTTTTGGATGCTGCTGTGGCGTGTAAATTTCCCAGGTCTAAAAAAAGTATTTTCTACTCTATTTTATTCTTTTGATTTTTAAAAATAAAGCTATGTTAGGGTTTCAAAATTTGTTCAACACTGCACACCCAAACTCAGCTCCGGTGGGCTCCGGCCCAATTTAACCCCTGATATATAGAACAAATTTGGATGTAGTTATTTTACAGTTGCCTTGAATAAAATTTTAAAGCACAACCAAATAAAACTAAACTTTAAATACTTTAAAGTAAGTGTTCATTAATAACTTCAGGTGAGACACAATAGGCAATCCTGGAACAAAATGAAAAGTGCAGAAGCATACATTATTATAAGTAATTTTAAATGGGATTGGGGCCTATGTCAGGCTCCTGCTGATCATCCATGTAGTAAGGATCTCCCTGGTGGACTCTGTGGTTGTGCACCCTCAGGTTCCCCCTGTGCGCAAATCTCTTTCCACACTCTGTGCAAGCAAAGGGTCTCTTTCCCATGTGAACGTCCCGCTGGTGGGCTCTTAGGTTCCCGCTGCGGGCAAAACGTTTACCACACTGAGCGCAGCCAAAAGGCCTTTCCCCTGTATGTGTGCGCGTGTGCACAGTGAGCTCAGAGGGAGTGAGGAAGCTCTTGTCACAAAACTGACAGGGATGAAGTCTGACTCCTGTATGGCGTAAAAGGTGTCTGCGCTGGTGGGAGGGGTAAGTAAAACACTTTGTACAGTATGGGCAAGTGTAAGGTCGTCCGTTCCCTCCACCTGGAGCTGGAGGATGGCTAAGAGTGTTTGTGTGTCGCAGAGTGAGCGACTGTGAATTAGACTGAGGCCGGAGAGGGTCTCTGTTGCTGAAATTTGCAACTCGCCGTGTGTGATTGATGGGACCTCTAGCAGCTCTGTCGTCCCTGGGTCTCCATGGTGATTCACCAGTAGGGGCTTGGGGTTGATCCTGACGAGCCCCCCTCTGCCCGACGCCCTGACCCTGGACTGAGTTCTGATTGGAGTTTTGGTTCTCAGGCTCCTGGTCCAGGAAAGGGAAAGAGCTATCGTCATCCTCATTACTGGTCTCGTCTGAGCCAAAACTAGGTCGGAAGCACGGTGCGTCTGTGCCAGTGCTGCCGCTAGCTTGACCAGAGCAGCTGGTGCCATCTGCCTGCAAGTTCTCCAGACCAGACACCCCACCTCGGGTAGCGTCCAACCCCGGTAACCACTCCCCTGGTTGAGCTAAGCTTGGGTCTGGCCTGGGGGAGCAGCGTCCACTCTGGGAGATGGAGAGAAAAGGTGTAGAGGCTTGATCCTGGAGGGATCTCTGGTCTGCACTGCGATTGCTCTGATTCCAATGAGATACTGCAGAGAAATTAGGGTGCAAAAAAAACAATTTATACACTTTCATCTCTCTACCTATAATAACATTTTACTGCACCCCAAAAAGACATTTGAGTGTTGTTTTGTTAAAACAATAATAGCCTAAAACAACAGTGAGAGCGGTGACCTTCTTACATTTGGTCTTGGCTTGTGTAGTAGACAAGGCATCGATCTGCCTCTGGCCCCCAGCAGCAAGACTTCCCTCTGGGGCTAACACTGTGACAGACAAGGCCGGTCGTGATCCAGCACGCTGTAAAGAAAAAGTTAAATAAGTCTGTAAGGTGTAGAAAAGCCAACAGCAAGGCACGATGGATGTATCACTTTGTGCGACTTCTTTAGAAAATGTGAAGATTTGAATGCTTTAGTTTATTACACAGCTAATTTTTGAGTCATGGAGAGGCAGGACAGGATCTGACCTCGTGCTTTACTGAAGCTCCATCCTGACCCGTGGCCTCCTCTTTCAGTCTGCTGAGGCTTTGGCTGTTTCCTTCTACTGGGTCTGAATGAGAAGATACATCCTTTCCCACATTCAGTCCTGTGCAAGAGAAATGTGGTTGGTCAGTGACAGTAAAGTCTACTCAATCAGGGACAAACCGGGTTAATTTAAAACGCATTTGAGCAAGAGATACGCAGGTATAGATAGCAAAGTGGATAAATTGCTCTAAGACGAGCCAAGGTTATGAGCCCTTATTACAATTTTACTGTTCTGCTCTGTGAAGACAATAACCACACTGAGTAATACCTGCTCCTGTCAGGGTCTGTTGTCTCAGGCTGCCCTCTCTGTCTCCTGATGACATCTCCCCTTCCTCGCTCCCTCCTCCCTTCGCCTTCTGCCTCCTCTCGACTTTCTCCAGCTTGCACCGGAGGATGGAGATCTCCTCGGTTTTCTGCGCCAGCTCCGCCTGCTGTTCACACAGGCTGCTCTCAAAGATCTTGGCGATCTCGCACACAGCGGCTGCAAGCAGCGAGTCCATGACGGTGGCCAGCTGAGCATGGAAAGCGCTCCTCACTGACTCCATTACCCTTTGTTTGGCTGACACTGTTTTAATGCCAGCGACTGATTGACACCGCCGTTTTCTTCTGAGGTTGGCCTCCAGAGGCAGGAGACAGACGATGTGGCTACCACTGTACACTCCTCTGCCCTGACACCTAGAAACTGCCATGAGATGCTGCCATGCTAAAGAGCTAACTCACGCCATTTCCAGCTGACGTGTATCGCAGCAATTTGCTTTTCAATAACGAAAACTCTTGGTGGTTTAATATCTCCTGACTGTCAACCTGTGCTGCGCTTTAGTGATCTTACTGAAGCTATGGTGTCAAAACCAAGCTAACGTTAACGTCACTGTTAAGTACGCGGATGACAAGCACTGCTGTGTACTGCAGGGAGCCCGTTTGCATTGTACACGAACATATATATAGTTGACTTGTAGCTAGCTATAAGAAAACAGCGTGTAGACAGGTAATGCAGTCAGTAAACACCAAGCTAGCTTACGTTACCTTTGGTTAACGTGTAAACAACGAAGCCAACGAAGCGTAGCCTGTACTAGCCACTTCTGGCTAACACAAAAACTAACTACGTAAATGCAAATTAAAACACCCCAAACCACTGGTAGGCAATACTGCTGATAGTCGGTGGCCAAATTTCTTCACCCGCTGACATTAAATCCATAAAGACTTGGAGACATGCAGCTTCTCATCGTCTGGGCGACCAGGTTGTACCTGTGACGAGATCTTCACGAAGTCTCGCGATAAGAGAGCTGCAGGTTTCAGATACTGTAATGAAGGAATAAAAAATAAATGCGTAATGTAGATATGCTTTCAAATGAATTGTTTACCCTTAAACCCACATTGTTTGAAATAAAAAACGATTATCCCCACTCATGTTTTCTTTGTAAATATGCAAACAAGGTGTAAAATATGAATTTTTTCATGTAAGAATTTTTTCAAAAGAAATAAATTTGGTTTGGAAACAGTGTTTTTTGTTTTGAAACAGTGACATATGATGAGGCATAAAAGAAAGTAACAGAACTTCACACATAAGAAATCTTCAACAGTGTATGGTTTTCAGATATCCATCGACAAACAGCAGAAATTTATACACAAAATATCCAAATTACATTATGTCCAACAGCGATCCTCACAAAACCAGATCCAAAATTCTGATTCCACAACCAAGCACAATTTGGGATGAAGGGAAAAGCACCAGTTTTGATTAAGCCCAAAAAGTAGACACATATACAGATTTACTTATAATTATTAGACCACTTGCTGTTTTCTTTACAAAGTCTACACAACATGAAAAATGTCAATACACAGAACAAAACACAATATATTGTAAACTAACATTTTCTGAGTCACCACTATTTTGTGCATAAGCTGTATGTGTAAATTCAGCAAATAATCTAAATTATCATTCAAAACTGTCTGAAAAAGAGAATTGTCAGATGACGAGAGGAGAGTTATTTTTGTGCTTAACAAAGAGAAATACAATGAGGGAGCCATTGCTATCCGGCTTGGAATCAGCAAAACAGCTGTCCATTACAACCTGAACTAGAAAACAGAACATGGTTCCACCAAGAACCACAAGGGAAGAAGCAGAAAACAGTAGTCACAGTGGTCTAATAATTATTCCAGAAGCTGTACAGGTTTAGATGATTGAACGCTACTTTCGATAAACCAATGTCACCTCATTCATCAATACACTGTACACGGCAAAACAACTGACTTTTAACAAGCAGAAATGTGGTTGTGCAGCCTCTACTGAGGTAGCTTCTCTTTCAGCATGTACAACATAGACCAATGTGGTCATTATTATAGGTAAAGAGCATGTCTCCTTTAAGGCAATGTTGGATTTACATAACTTTTGTGTCAATTGTTTCCCAATTTGTCAGGCATGCACTATATTAGTTAAAATCACATATTTTTCTCAACTCTTGAGAAGATAGTTTAACTGAATTCCCTTTCATTGCACAATATATCACAACACTGGCTTTACGTTTACTTTTAATGTAAAACACTTAAAAACATTAGAACAAGAGTACTCGGAGGTGGACTGGACCCCTCTGAACATCAACAGTGACACTGTTTTATCTCTGTGTTCTTACTTTAAATCTTACTCTAAGATGTAATTTCGCATCAGAATGACATCTTTCTGACTTGCCATTTGAAGTGAGCATTATGGTCACCAGATTTGTTTTTCTTTACTACTTTCTAGTATTGAAAGAAAGAAGTGGGCTGTGTATTCAGTAACCTAATGATTGAGCATCAAAGTATGAAAAAAGCAACAGAACAGTGTAACTTGAGCTTTCATCTCTCTGCAACAACTTAAATCCAGCACCTGACAGCTTCCAGGGTTTCAGTGTCCACAGACAGGTAATGTTAACTATATACTTGTATCATTTGTAGCAGCTCCATAGGGTTCCTGAGGCATCCTTCAGTGCAGTGTTTGAGGATACGCTACTCCTTCTGACATCCAGATGAATGCGTATGAACTGTTGCTTCTGTGTCGATACTCCTCTCACACTTCTCATCCTTGAGTGGTGTCACAGGAAAACTGCACGTTTTTTTGTGAATGTACAGCTGTGACTTAGCAGGAAACTTTGCTGGACACTTCTCGCATTTGATGGGCTTTTCCCCTGTATGGATACGATAGTGTTCAATCAATATGTTTTTGCTTTTAAAAAACTCCCGACACACTAGGCAGATGAAACCATCTTGGTGACGTTCACCCATTGTTTGCCATCTTGAGTTTTTGTCTGTACTGCCTTGTCTGCAAACTTCATTGTTGTTGTTGATTCCTTGACTTTTGCCTTTGCTAGAAGCAATCAGATCCTCTCTATTAGTTTCATTCCCTTCTACGGGCCCTGGTTCGCCATTTCTGTCAATGGAATTCATGTGGCCTTTGTGACGTCTCTCCATGTGCTGTTTTAGAGACTGCTTGAGGCGGAATTCCATTGAGCACACACTGCAAGAAAATGGCTTTTCACCAGTATGAACACGCATGTGTTGCAGACACCTGGAGCGGAAATTAAACTTCTTGTTGCAGTACGTACAGGAATACCTATTGGTGGCTTCATGTCCCTGAGTGGGTAACTCATCATGGTTGCTAGAGGAAGGTGTGCCCTTGTTCTCAGTGATGGTCTGTTTTTTGCTTGGTCCAGGTGTTTCTTCTTCATCACAGGAGGTTTTCGGAGCTCTGGCGGCTTCTTTTTCCAGCAATTGTTTGAGCTTTTTACAAGATGTTTTGTGACATCTGAGAGCACTGAGTAATCGGAATGGTTTTTTGCAGCCTTGGCATCTCCTGTGTGAGTTTGCATGTATATTTCGGCCAAATTTTGTGTCAAATATCTTCTTGCATATCTTGCAGGAGTATGTCATTTTTTCATCATTTTTCACAGTCTTTTCTTCTGTGGATTTAGATTCAGTTGCTGCACTTCTTTTTTGCTCTCTTTTGCTGTTGGCTGTATTTTCTTGTTCTTCTCCTGTTAGACTTCTCATTCCTCTTTTAAGGCCTTGAAAACTTGTCAGAGCAGAAGAGTCCTGATTGATGTCTAGGAGCAATATTTTCATGTCATTTCTCATTGGCGCACGTCGAGCTCCTTGGCCACGCGTTCGTAATTTTCTGTCCTCGGTGTGTTTATTCCTCTCCTTTAAGGTGGAAACTGTGAAAGAAAAACATTGCACGAAAATAAAACAGGTTACATGAATATAATAAACAAAACAATGAATTATGGAACAAATTGATTTAAGATCAACACTGCAACAAGATGTAAATAATTTCTATAAAGCTTAAAGTAGAACAAATACATTGGTTGGGAAACACAGAAGATGTAATGTTTAAAAACATTGAGCCACACTTAATCCTATAATTGTATAATTGTAATGTTCCCCCCTGCCTTCGCCCTAAGTCGGCTGGGATAGGCTCCAGCCCCCCCGCGACCCTAGTGAGGATTAAGCGGTGTATAGATAATGGATGTATTACAGCGGTACATCAATTAAAGTGGTTGGGTCACCCATTTAAACATAAACAAAAGGAATTTGTAATCCTTTCAGCAGTGAAAATGGAATTTAGTAAATTTCACAGTAATGTATCTTTTCATGTTCTGTTTTTCAGCAACAGCTCTGATAAATTTAAACATGTGCTTGATGGCTACTCTGCATATCTTGGAGTCCTTCTGGGCAAGGGTTGTATGCATCTTTAAAAGTACATGCTGTGCTTCCACAAGATGTTGCTCAGCACATGAATAATGATGACTGACACTTTACTGACAGTCTACATCAAGTACGATATATGATCAGATAAGAAAACTGTAAATACAAACGTGAAACTCTGTGAATGTCAATATGCAATGCAAGAGAGCAATCCTCAATTTGACAAGAATCATTTGCAGCAAAAATAATGAATAAAACAATTAGGAAGGAAACTCACTTCTCTTGGATTTCCTGCCATAGTTGTTGTTCTTCTTCTGGCAAAAGTTCATGTCATAGTCAGCCACCTTAAAAAAAGGACATTATTGGTTACATCTCCAATGATTAATAATGCAAAGTACAACGAAAACAGATGCGCCCAGTGCTATCGCTGGATAAGCAGCAAATATGATAGAGTATTTCTTTACTTTCATTTTGTTTAAATGTGAGGAAGAGTGATAACCATACCTTATAACAGAGAACAATGCATGTGTAACTCCACATCTCATCAGCTATCCTACATTATGCACATTACTGCTCATGTCTGTCTCTTTTGGAACCGTTGTGTTATTACTGTGCCTAAAACGGTTCACAGTTTTGACAACAGTCAACAACAACACAAGAGTGTATCTTTTTTTTTTTTTTTGCTTCTTTTAACAACACAGCATTTCAGGATGTAAAAAAGTGCTTTTCTCTTCAGGTTAATGATGCTAAACTGTAGATTTTCCCCTTTAGTTACACACCTCATGCTTGTGGATTGGAACGTGCGACACAGGAATGGACAGGCGTCGCAGTCTTACTATGGGACAAATGTTGTGGCCTCGCTTGGTCAAAGTCTCGCTGCCCAGGGGAGCACACCAGTCATCAGGTACTGCACAAAACCATACACACAAACGTAATTAACCTGCATGCAGTAATGTGACTCATCTCTCTATACTGGCAGTTCTTAAAAAATGTTATTATGTAACTATATCTATATCATGAATATCTTTAATGTTAGAAGGCAGAATAATTAGTCAAACTATTAATCACATTTAAACATTATACCTTCAAAATCAATCTCAGGAACATTGGATGTTTGTGCTGGGGCATCTCTAAGAGCATCAGGTTGTCTTTGTGTTGGATTTGTCCGAGTTTTATTTGTCTCTGCTCCTTTGTTTCCTCCAATCTCGAGGTCCTTCAGCCTGAGCTCTGCTGTCTGTAACTTTATTTTAAGTTGAGCAATCTCTTCCCCTTTCTGCGCCATCTCCATCTGATGGTCATATAGGGTGTTTTCAAAAATCGTCATTACTTCAAACACAGCTTTCCTCAAAACGGCATCCATAGTTGTGGTCAGCTGGGCCCTGAACCCCCTGGTCAGATAGTCAGACATCTTTGAAGATGGCAGACTTGCAGCTTACAAACGTCTTTGAAGAGAAAGCCTTGTGTGATGCTGTGGTGGTCCTTATCTCCTAAACACAGATATAAATTATCAGGTCAGTTACAAAAAAGCACGCTGGAGCGCTGCTAAGTATTCTTTAACCCAACACATGGCAGGCAAAAACATTGTTATTTGTTTTTTTTGTTGTTTTTTTTTTTAAATGCACAGTGCAATTTTTGAAATTCATGACATGTTTGTGTATTTAAATACAAAATTAGGTATTATTTCATTTTATATAACACTATTTCAGGAAATGTTAAATAAAAAATATAATTGCAAACCAGATTTTTATTCCTTGCTATATTCTTAAGGTTTTGACAGAGAAGTTTAATTATATATCATTCATAGCTTGATTTGATTTCTAAGAACACTATAAAAGCGTATCTATTTTTCCCTCAATGCTGACAGTATTTTTTGATTCTTGGGGTGATACAAAGAGAGATCCAAAATTCCCTGGCTTTCCATAATGTTCAGGTCAATGCTTTGGAAATGTATGCAAACCAGCACATATACAAGTAGATTATGTCTTATTTGCATATTTAAACTTAAAATGTCAGAAGACTACTGAAATACCTGTCTTAATTTAATTAACTGACTGAGGAAGTTTTAAGGTGATATTTATTAATTACGTTTGTTTTTCCCATATTCTCCATCAGTCACAACATATACACACAACTGTCAGGATACTAGTAACTCCATGCTACTATTAGGTGAGACCATCAGAAAGTAACATTAAGATATAATGATATAAGATAGAGAAACAGTATGTAGTTATCAAAGCCACTGAGCCAGATGATTTGCACTGGTGTTGTTAGGCTTGAGCATCCGCAGCTATAGCCCTGAATGTTTTATGAATAGCCCCAGATATCAAAAATAAGAATAATTAAAAAATAATAATAATAATAATACCAATAACTTAATCTGTCATTCACATCATGGTTTAAATCTCTCTAAATAATATGATATCACTGATCAATGCAATCAAATCAAATACAAGCAGCCTATGTTTTGGATCCTCTGTGTGTCATTCAAGCAGTAGATCAACTTTATTTCTCTTGGCAAACTGTTTACAGAGTTTGTCATTGTTAGGATCTGGTAGTAACTACCTAGCTATTTCACTAAGGCAAGATTTACAAGCTGTGGATATAAGAAACTTTTTCATTAAGAAAAAGGGGGATCCTGTTGGATAAGTTCCAATTAGGGACAACATGGACAAATTTAGTCATATTATTATTAGTTATTGAGTCTATGTATTCCATTATGGGTGAACTTTTTTTCCTCACCAGCATCTGCATCTGTTATAACATTATCTTATCATTTTAATTTGAAATGAGTGTTAAAAAGCAATGTTATATACCAATTCATTTCCAGTTGGAGGGTAAACCATTGTGTAGCTAACTGATTCTCTCAACATTTTTGTCACAAGGCACACCTTTACATGTGATTTATAGCTCTAAAAGTAATTACAAATGAGACTAATTCCAGGGTCCACAGTCCTAGAACAGACACAAACAGCCTGTCTAACATGCACTCCTTGTGATATTAATGTGGATAATGGCCTGAGAATAAAGAGAAAGATGGATTACCGTACTTTACCTAGAGCACAGTCTCATATTTAATATTCACTTTACTGTGGGGTAATTTAAAAACTGTGCTATTATTAGGTTAAAATCTAAAGACTTCTGGGCTGTGCTAAGCCTTCAATGTTTCAATATCCCAACAAGGTTTCTCTCTCAGCTTTCATGAAACACCTCACCGTTAGCTTTAGTGATGACTAACACACATCGATGAAAGAACACCAGTCCATGAAGTCTGTTACTGCTCACACATTATGTTATTTCAAACATGAAAAATCAATGCGATGACAAAAAGTACATTGCAAGTTACGCTTTACAGTGAAACTAATGTTAAAGCAGAAAATTAAAGTACTTACTGTTCGACACCGGGAGAACTCCTGCACTGCTGTTTAGGTGTTAAACGGTTCAAACTTTGCCTTATAGCTATAAACTTGTTATACCAAGGGTAGACGACTCATCCGCTTCTAGTGTTTCATTGTTTAAAATGACGCATTTATTTCTTAGTCGTTAACAAACCTATAAACACCCATAACACCCATCCGCCATTTTTACTCAAGACTCCCAGGAAGCGAGGAATGATGACGTTTTATGCGTCATCATTCGTCGACCCGAAATATTATTGCAAATTATCCTGCATATTTTTATTGCACTGAACAATATTTGAAAACAATTGTAATTTAAAAATAAAATACAATTTGTGTAGTTTAAACAGTTTTTTTTAAATTATTATTATTAATAACGTTTTTCGTCCGTCGCTCTCACTATAGCAACCACACAGAGATCCTCTGGCCGGCTACACATCGACATATAACTGACGGGAGTTTATTTAACTGCAAGTGAGATCCAATGTATTTTGTGTTAGCTCAGTTTATGTTTCTGTTAACTGAGCTTGACTATAGGGGTGCAGAGTTAGTGAAGACACGTGTAACCGAACGGGGACAGTTTGTACTTTTCCCGCCAGGCTTCGCTGTGACGTTACCAGGAAGTGTAGGCTGCACGTTCGTTCCGGTGCTGCAGTCTCTGATATAAACATATGTGTAGTGAGAGAAAAGACAAGTACTGTCAAACATAAAATGAGCAAATCACAGAAAATAAACTCTATGTGATAATGCAACTTTATAGATATAAAACAATCCCCATGAAGAGAGAAGGAATAGATTTATATCATGTCATTTCATCATTAGAAGTGTTATTCTAGCAGTCAATAAGATGTTTGCCAAATGTTCGCTGCACCTCTTTAACAAATGTTCCTCAGCAAGATTTTTGGAAAGTTTTCTTGAGGTCCACCAACTGTTTCCTCTTGGGGGAAAAAAATTGTCTCAGTAAGCATTTACAAAATGTTCTGCAGACAAAATGTTGCCTGAACATTCCCCAGACATTCATAAAACATTCCCCAAACGTTACGACTGGTTTCACAGAATAACCTTCAAGGTACATTTCAAAGACGTTGTCCACACGTGCCCTGTTTGCTGGGAGTGCTTTCTAATGTCCGTGAATTGATGGACACATTTTCCATCCAGATCTGATCTGAAACAGGATTAACTACCTGCTGTTACGCTCTTTTTGCTGTTTCTATCGAGAATACAAATTGTTTTTGTGTGACTGATGTATCTGAAAGTAGTTTCTGAAAAATGGTGTGCTTATGATGCTGAATTGGTGTACGTTACACATTAAAATAATGGGTGATGTGACAAGCCAGTGATTAACTTGTATTCATGATTTTATCTGTAACTTCGGAGATTCTGTTTCTTATCCATACACATCATTATTATAAAATCCTGCAGCCATTGGTTCTGTGTTATCTATATTTGCTGAAGGCAAAAGCCAAAACACTGAAATGATGGCCTTGACACAAACATTACCCAGTTCAAAGGGCAAGTCGAGTGAGAGACAACATCCAATATATAACAATATAACATCAAATATCTGTGAACAGACAGCTTTCTTCATTTTCAGCCATGATGATATCACAGAAATGTGGTTCATGACAGTAGCATGTGACGCACAGCAGTACTGTTATTATCTTGTGAAAACCCAAATAAAATCATTCTTTGTAGGGTTAATACCAGTTACCACTCCATTTCTACACTGGCTGCCAATAACATAGGAATAAACACATATACCAATTGTTGCAATAAGCTGTACAATATAAAAATGCTATCTGAAATACATGACACAAAATTGACAGAGAAAAAAATGCAAGTGTAAAGTATACTTTCACTGTATATTACTGCAGATGACTGAAACAAGTATTGCAACTTTCCCTCACATCACAAGAAATCAACGATGCCAAACAATTGGAGTATTAAAGTTAATCTCTCCCATTCTGTTAATAAACACCAGATCAATGATAGTTTTAGTGTCAGTACACGTTTAGGTGCTTGTGGTTAAGCAAAGGTTTCTATTTTTATATTCAGTTATTACAGTGATAACTTCAAGTAGGCTGAACAAGATTTAACTGATAGTTAATCTTTCACCATGACACTGCAATATTTTTCACATAGTCATCATACAATTCAACTACTGCTAATCTTGAGTCCAGAGATAAGCTTTTCCAACAGAGGTTATTAAAAAGTTTGAGGCCAAAGGTTATGTGAACAAAGTGCTGTGTCATGCCTGACAGTATTTTTTATTAAAGACATTTTGACATGTAAATGTAACAAAAGCCCCCATGTAAATCAAAAAATAAATGATGACAGAATTACATTTAGTTGTTTCAGTTTTAGGGTGCTTGTGTTGTGTGTGCTGCCTGATTTGCTTAACTACACAGAAGCACAGCCAGATGTTATAAGTTACACTGGCATTTTTTCTGCTGCAACAGGTAAGAATCTCTGCAGTAAAAAATGCTTTTTATAGTTATTAACTATGCCCCACATTATAAAAGATCTATTATTGCTCAAAAATTTCAGAGTTTAAGCAAAGTTTAAACACAGAGCCTGTAAAAATGTTGTAGTTCTTTGTCTATAAAACCAAGAAAAACACACATTCATCCATTGTCTATCAGATGTGCTTTATTGCATTTAAATGGGAAAGGATCAGTGCAAAGCTATAGGGTCCAGGTAAGTGCTTTTGAAGATACTCATACAGCATTTGATTGGGAGGAATTTTGACAAAGTATCTTTGCTTCTTTATTTCATTAGTTGTTACGATGCTCACACATGTTAGGAACACACTGGAATGATCTTCTATTTCAGTGTGTTGACCTCCGTCTCAGCCAAACGTAGCGTTGTTCCAACCCACCATGGGTGCGGACAAGTCTATAAAGACAATATAAACCCTGAAATAGACACCAAGAGAAATAGGTTAATGAGGGCCAGTATTAACAGAGAGCAGTTATGCACAATACAGAGGAGTCTGTGTGTTTCTGTCGCCATATATATATATTGAATTATGTGCAGCGAATGTGCTGGTTGTTGTGTGTATTTGATACCTGTCAGGAGAGACGCCCAGGTGTTTTTGGAGCAGTCCACACAGGAGTTGGGTGTACACCTTGTTTTCAGCACCACTGATTTTGCCAATGCTTTTGAGGGAACAGAGTGCGCAGGGGTCTGCTTTTCCTCCAAAGGTCATATTTTGGTCAGAGTTTACGTGCACAGCAATGTACTGGAATACACAAGAGAGATGCAAAAAACTTGGGTCAGTCCCAAATGGGTGGATCAACAATGAATAATGTCAGTTTTTGCATTATAACAATAGTAGCCAAATATTGAATATAAACTACGACTACACCAAATCCTTCAGCCAACCCCAAAGAAAGTCATGAGAAAACATTCTAAAATTTTGTGATTTTTTATCCCCACTATATTCACTAATTGTCTGTTTAACTTATAAGTACAGAAATACCAAAATACGTTAAAATGTTTTACCTGATTTCTTTCTTTCTTTTTAAAACCAAAAACAACCTTGAATTTAAGGGCAGGATAAAATGCAACCATTTATTTAGACAAATCGATTGTTTCTGCCAGACTACCGCAAGAAACTTATATTCTAAATCTGATCTAGTTCCTTTCATGTTGAACGTAATTAAACCTTTGCTTATCAGTGTTATGAAGAAACATGAAAATCACTGACACAAACTATGAATGTTGATGGCAAAATAGCTTAAATATTACACCAGCTTAGTCTTGATTTGAACTTTCTCGAAAGAGGTCATTCTGAGCAAAAGCGTTGCTTTTAATCTGCAAACTGTGGCCACAGATTAATCATATGCCAACCTCTGCTTTGTGCAAACAGCCAAGCCTATGCTTATATAATTGTACAATAGAGAAAAACAAACACAAAAAACCTAACATACTCTCAAAACACAACTGGGGTGAAGTTTAACTTATTAGCTCCAACCCACTACATGTCTGCATACCTCATATCTTAATGTTTCCTGTTTGCACCAAACTTTGTACTTTTATATCTATAAAGAAACTATGAAGCACATTCCTACAGAGGAGCCCTTCAGTGTCAATGTGCATGTGAGCATAAATGGTGCAGGACTAGCGTGCCCTGGCCTGCCTACCTGTGAAGGTTTGCCCAAAGCTTTGGTCAGCTCCGCGGTAGCCTCGGACAGAAGAGCCGCTGGCACGGCGCTTCTGGCAACGTTGGTGTTCACCTCGAATATCGGCATGATTACTGATGCTGAGCTCTCTCCTTCCCCTCTTCTTCACAAGCTGCTACTGACGCCGATCTGCTCACAGGCGGAAAAGACGACAGCTTTATCTTCCTCTGCTGCAGACCTAGGATCATGTGACCAACTCACCACAGCGCCTCCATCCATCCTGGATGACAGACACAAACACAACGCCAACCAACAGGAAGCTTAATTTTTTGGTGTTGTTTCCTATTTCCTTATTTATTTAAAAAAAAAAAACAAACAAAAAAAAACAATCACCAACACTACTGTTGAGCTCACATCACGCAGGGAATAATGTGTGAAACCTGTGTGAATGTGCTTTTTCCAGGGTGCGGCGGCTCTTCGGTGTAGGGTAATTACGGTAGCACGCATGCGCAGTGTCCTCCAGCATCATAAGCAGCGCTGAAAGGAGGCGAGAAGGAAAACAGTAGCAGAGAGAGAGAGAGGGCAGAAGTTGGATGGCGCTTTCCTTTGTCGCCGCGTCTCTGCGCTCAACAACAGCTGCCAGGCTCCTCCGTGATCCGTGAAATCCCACCGTGTGTCGTCATTTTACACCTAAGTCGCTTCTCCGGATTTCATCAAACAAACGGTGCGTATACAAAGCTAATTTAGCCGAGCTGCTAGCACTTTCCAACGTTACGGAGGCTGCTGCTCCCCTTTACTTCAACATTACTGCATGTAGATCAGTATTACAAGTTTACTAACAAGCTAGCCTGACGTAGCTCGTGTATTTGGCATTTATGAAGCTGCTGAGTCACAGTTTAATTAAACAGCAAAAGAACAGTCTTGATTTAAATTGTAAAACAGATGGAATAAACGTAAGGTTAGTGAGTGGATGCGCGGAGACCTGTCAGAACTATTAAGATTTTGTAGCGCCAAGCTAACTAGTCAAGTTAACTGACACTTGGATGCTTGGTGCACAGTGATGAGACAGTGTGAAACTTTAGTGACCTCTGTTAGTCAAGTGTGCAAACTGTAATTACGATAACATGGATTGTTGCTGAACCACCAGCAGGTCCCGAGATGATGGAGGAATCGGTGACCACGTTTGAGACTCATCTGACGGCTGTGATGGACAGTTTGATCCGAGCCTCGGTGTGTGAGATCACCAAACTCTTCCAGGAGACGGTGAACGACTACCTGGTGGAGCTGTCCCTCAACAGGAAGGAGAATGAGACGCTCAAACTGCGGCTCAGGCTCACCGAGAACAAGCTGAGGACGGAGCGCAAGTACGGCATGGGCTGGGCTGCGAACCGCCGCAACGCCGGACTGGAAGCGGGGACGGAGGAAGAGGCAGCTGGAGGGCGGCACAAACGAAAAGTTGACACGGCCCGTAAGTTTTTTTTTTTTTTTTTTGCATGCATTGATGGATGTCTTGATTGGAGTTTTTTTGTGTTATTTTTTCCCCCAGCTTACAGCACCTTTAATTCCACAGTTGTCACATTAATGAAATTGCACCTTATCAGCACATATTTCAGTGGTGTAATTGTGTTTTTCATGTGAGAAACAGTGATCTTGCTGTGCAGCAGTGGCTCATGTGAAGACGCACTTGTTTTGTTGGAAACCATCTGGCAAGAGCTGATCTCTCCCTCCCTCCCTCCTCTCTCCCTCCTCCCTTCCCTTCCCTTCCTCCTCCGCCTCCTCTTCATGATCGCTCCCTCTGTCCTTCACCTCCCCCTCTCCTCTCTCTCTCTTCACTGCATTCTGTCCCTCCCACTCCTCTGTGCTTCTGCTCTCCCTCCCTCCCTGCCTCCCTTTCCTGCCTTGCTCCTCTCCCTCCCCCACCTCCTTCACTCTCTCTCCACCTCCTCTTCCTTTCCTCTTCTCCCTCCCCCACCTCCTCCTCCTCCTTCATCACGTTGCACACACACACACACACACACACACACACACACACACACACTCCCCCGCCTCCTCTTCCTCCCCCACTCCTCTCCTGCTTCTCTTCACCACCGCTGCCGCCACCGCCACCCTCCATAATTACATACTCCCTCTCCACTTCCACTTCTCCTCTCTCTCTCCTCTACTCACCTCTTCATCCTACCCCCATCTTTTTCCCCTTCAACATGTCCTCTCTGTCTTCCTCCTCCGCCTCCTCCTCCTCCTCCTCACCCCCATCTTTTTCCCCTTCAACATGTCCTCTCTGTCTTCCTCCTCCGCCTCCTCCTCCTCCTCCTCCCCCCTCGTGACCCCCGCCAACTCCACTTCTTCCTCTCTTCTCGGCCTCGCTCCCTCCTCTCCTCTCCTCCCTGTCACATGTTTTCCCTCTCCTTCCCGCTCTCTTGTCTGTTCTTCTACGCCCCCTCTCTCCTCACTCGTTCATCATGCCTATTCCTCCTCCTTCTCCTCCCCCCTGCTCCCTTTCCTCTCTCCCCCAACCTCTCTTCTACTCCCCTGCATTTCCAATCCCCTCGTCTTCCCCCTCGTCTCTTCCCTCCTTCATCCCTCTCTCTTGGCCTTCCAATCATCTCCTCCCACTTATCTCTCTCTCCCCCTCATATTTCATTCGCTCTCCTTCCTGTCTCCCTCCCCCTTTTGCCCTCCCTTCCTCCTCTCTCACCTCCCTCCCACCCTTCCTTCATCACCCCCTCCTTCTCCACAGGAGGCAAGTCAAAAAAGGGCCCAGCAGCAGCCTATGGCAAAGGCTGGCCTGGAGGTGTGTGGGAGGAAGGAGGAGGAGGTGGTGGAGGCGGCAGCGGCGGCGGCGGTGGTGGTGGTGTGGGAGGAGGAAGTGGAGGAGCTGTGGGCATGATAGCAGGAGCAGGAGGAAGAGGGGGGAAGGAGGCCAGAGAGATGTACCTCATCCAGTTCCCCCGGGATGAAGAAGATGAGGGAGGGATGATGGAGGATGAGGAAGGGGAGGGCAGCCTCAGCGGTGAGGGGGAGGAGACGGCCAACATCAAAGAGGAGGTGAGGGAGACGGGCTTTCTCAGAGGAGGAGTAGGAGGAGAAAGTGGCACAGCATCTCTGCACCACTCAGCAGCTTCATATAGGCTGAGAAAGAATGTAGACAGAAAAACAGAGAGTGAGATAACACACACACACACAAACAGAGTTTTGCTCGTAATTTTCAGACATCAAGTCACAGCAGAGATGTAGTGGATAAAGAGAAGGCTATTGATTTGATATTTAGCTTCCAGAGGAGCCCGTTGAGTGGGGCTCTTCACATCTCAAGTGCAGCAGCTTTTAGGGAGAAATACTACTGCTGGAGGTGAGAAGCTTTGTGCTGTTCCGCCACATAACCAAGTGGCATGGCACAGATCCACTCTTCACTTCTGGATTAGAATGTGCAGAATGTGTTATTAGCCATATTGTTCAAAGTGTTTTAAAAGCTAATGAAATAGCTTTAAAGAAATGTAGTCAGACTAATAGCTTTATTTTTAGGCACTTTGCAAACATATGAGTTGGTATGTTCATGAAGTTCAAGTCAATGTGTAAAATAGTATTTACAAATTCAACATTGAATACCTTTTTCCACCTGGCCTCAGTTGTTATAGCTCTCTGTGCTTCTTTATGCAGTTTCCTCAAACAGAGGGCTATCAGCCTGCCTCTCTCCAGCTAATCAAGGAGGCTTTGAAGATGGATCCGCCCAACCAGAACCTCCACGCTTGCTCCAGAGCCCAAAGTGAAGGTAATGAGCCCAGGACTCACTGATTGAGGGAGGGCAAGTTAGTGAAATGTTCAGAGGACGATAGTTTGAAAGAAAGTGGAAATGATTGCTCACCCCAGCTCTCTCACTCACACCTCCTCCTTCTGTCTACTCAGGAGAGCTGTCAGATCGTCCACCGACTCTTCATCCAGGGGAGAGGGAAGAGGAGGACTGGGAGGTGGACTCAGCAGAGCCGTCGGACGGGGGCATGACGATGGATGAACTGAGAGGTCTGGAGTCTGCACTAAGAGCTGAGAGAGGCCGTGAGCAGGCTGCCATGACGACTTCTCAGCCTGTGAGCCCACACCCAGAGGTGGTGCGAGGGAGCGAGATAAGCTTGGCCCCGAAGTACATCGGCCTCGATGGGATGGAGCAGGACGGAGAGCTGGAGCCTCAGCCACCCACTCTGCAGAGAGAGGACCAGATAGGGCAAAGCAGGGCGAAGGACGGTGTGAGGGCTGGACTGGTCGGGGGAGTGGAGCTAAGGTCAGGCTGGTCGAAAAAGATCAGAGACGGGGATTCAGTGTCTGGTGAGGATGTGGTGGAGCACGGAGAGTCGGAGCACCTGCCCCACCTGTCTGCTCCAGGGAGCGTCGGGGAGAGCGGAGGGGAAGAGGAGGGTAGTGGGGACCTGCTCCACTTCTGTCCACAGTGTGGAGGAGGCTTCACTTCAGAGGCCGAGCTGGAGGAGCACCCCTGTCCACTAGGGGGTGCCCATTTACAGAGCAGCGGGGGAGAGGCGAGCCTTTTCCCCTGCGCCCACTGTGGCAACACGTTCAGCCACGCCTGGGCTCTAAAGAACCACGAGTGTGCCTGTGCTGCCGAGCGGCCGCACTGCTGCGAGATCTGTGGGAAGCGCTTCACGCACTCGCGCTCTCTGGAACGCCATCATCTGGTGCACACGGGCGAGAGGCCGCACCGGTGCCCGCAGTGTGGACGCAGCTTTAGTCGCCTAGGCAACTTGGAGCGGCACCAGCGGATCCACACAGGTGAACGTCCGTATGGTTGCGAAGCGTGTGGGAAACGATTCAGCCGTGTGGAGTATTTAAAGAGACACCAACTCATACACAACAGTGAAAAAGCAACACTCCAGTGCTCCAACTGTGGAAGGGGCTTCAATGATGTGGAGCAGCTGAAGAGCCACCAGTGTTTTTAAAGTCTCCTCCTTACAATCTCTGATAGAACTTGAAAGAACGAGCTGGTTTTTAATCGACTGAGATAGAATTTAGCCGATGAATGTGACTGGTACATGGTTATATTTTTCTCAGTAACTATCTTTGAAATAAAGAAGCACAAGCGTGTGTGGATGATTTTGTCGAGTAAATAAAGAAGGCACATGTCCAAAGTTGACTGGAAGTCGTTTATACATGGTGTTTCTGTGTAAGAGGAGAAATACAATCAATCTCAGCCATTCAGCCATTGTAACTAGTGGTGTTCTCATTTGTATGTATGTACAAAACTATGGCTTATTTATGATGATGAATAAATTGTGCATTTTTATCTTTTTATCAATTAACTCATGTTAAAGCTGATGGCCTTGTTTTTCTCTGACAATATAATTGACAGTTTGGTATTTTGTATGTTTGTGTTTTGGTCACATTGTTAAGAAATAAACATTTCAATTCATCAGAAAGCTCTTTACCCATTTCAGTCTTTACTCACAAATGATGGAGTTGGTGAATATGTTACAAGATCATATTCATCATAAATATACTTTTCCAGCCCTGATGGCAACAGTTTGATAAAACATTTACTGCGGTATTAAAATTTGGTGTTTCATTTTTGGTTCCGTCAGTGAGAAGTGAACATTTAAATTCAAGCAAAGACTCATCTTTTTTTTTTTTTTAACCTACTTTAGAGGAAAATGGTGAAATGCATTTTACTGAGCATCAAGACCTGGAAGTCAGTTTATTTCCAAGTAGAATACCTGTGACTTGGATATATTCCAGGTCTAACATCCTTTAGTCACACCATGACAGTCTGCTGACACACGACACTCTGATCATATTGAGGCCTAAAGCACAAAGAAGATGTTGCAAACGCTTCAGGAACTGACTGAGCAGTTTCTGCTTGCTGGCTGCTAGAACATGTTGTCTTGTGCGTGTCCCGTCCAGGATCAGGTTTTTTTTGTTGTTTTTTTTAAATGTCTGGAAGAACTGAATGCCTCTTGCAACATTTCCCCTGCAGAGTCTGTCTTCAGCTTTATTCCACTTTGTCTACAAAAATGAAGCATCATGGGAGACTTAAAAAACATGCAGAGCTATGTCTTAACTGCAGTGAGATGCTTATAAAGCTTAATGATGAAAACAGTCATTTTGATTAGAACTGTTCTTAATCATCACTAGCAGCTGTTTAATGCACCCTCAGACGTTGATTAGCAATTATCTGATAACTGATACAATCACACAATCACACTTCACTTAGCAAGTCAGCTGTCTGTTTTCTCTGTTTGTCTCTCACTGGTTCCTGTGTGATCATCCTTCTGTCTCTGAAACTCTTAGTTGTGGAAACCATAAAACACTATGAGACTAAAAGCTCCACTTAGTGCTTCTATTATTTCTCAACTGTCTGTTTATGGCAAGTCTTTGGCCTCTTTGTGCGGTTTTTGCTCAGTTGGTTGGCAGGAAAATCCTCATTTTCAGTTGTTGTGCTTCAGTGTGTCAGCTTAACTCTTGTTGTTAAGTTGTTCTTAAAAAAAACTGAGAAATTCCTCTCAGGCTTGCACCACAGACACCAGTTTCCCACCTCAATGTTTTCTTCTTATACATTTTTTTCTACTTTTATAAATGGAATGTTTGGCCTGTCCCACCACAAAGTTAAGCAGCCGCCACTTTTTTCCTTTTTTTTCACTGCCAGATACAATTTCTACCAAATTTCCATGACACTGAATTAACCAACTTTTTTTTGAAGTTTCAAATGACAGTTCCAAAGAAAGTGCATCAGTAGTTTGTTTATTTCCACTTGATGAAGAAGATAGCACATCCTGTTGCTACATGTGATTCTGATGATCAGGTGATGTCTGAGGACACCCTCTGGCGTCGCTCCTCGACTTAAGCACCTTTTGTTTCCCCTTGTCCTCTCACCTTTTGTCACTGATTAGCACCTATATATAAAACAACCAACTACTGTATTTACCTATGTAAATAAATGTACTCTGCCAATGTTCTGGGTTGGCTTAGCTCTTAAGACCTGGCGTCCACATGCATGGACACCACATTTTGGGTTATATTACCGTAGTAACATTTTTTT